GAGTTGTTTTGGGGGCCTTGGCTACGCTGTCTGTTTGCTGTTTGTTTTACATTTGACAGCAGCAGCAGCAGCAGGAGCAGCAGAAGCAGCAGAAGCAGCAGCAGGAGTGGCAGCAGGAGCAGCAGCCGTTGCAGCCCATTGCCTTGTGTACTTTGCGCTAATGCAATGCGATGCTGATGCCGATGCGATCCGATGCCAGCGATAGCAGCGACATCGGCATCAGAGTCAACGTCAACGTCAGCGTCAACGTCAACTGCTGCGTCAGCGTAAGCGCCTCCAAAAGAGTCAAAAATTGTTGCAAGTGCCATTTATTGTATTTACAGAGCGCGCGCCCTCTGCATCAGTGTGACAGAGCACACAGAGCAGACGGAGCAGGAGGAGCAGGAGGAGCAGGAGGGGCAGGAGGAGCACGAGGAGCAGGTGGTTGCATTACGCATACGCCGCGTGTGCACGCGCTGGCAGAGCCAATGCAATGAAAGCCATAAGATGACATTGCACAGCTGAGAGCATTTGATGGAATGTGTGTAGATGCTGCAAATTAATAAGTAAATATTAGAGAGCTATGATACCCATTGAATATATCAAATACGAGTGGATTTCCTTGGTTATTATTTTGTTCTGCGAGCATATAGATAACTATATAAGATTAAATGTCGTTCATGTATGAATATATACATATATAAGAAATAGGTATTTACATAAAAAATATGTACTACGAAATATTTACGATCGAAATGTCAGACGCTGAGATAAAGTAGTTGACAAAGAACAGAGAGTTAAATATATGGAAAAAAATAATACATATAAGAAAATTGAAATATTCAGCAAGCAAACAACATAAACAAAAGATGACATTTTTATGGGATGCAAAAACCCTTAAACTAATTAAAAGAAAAATAAATAAAATATTTATAATTTATTTTTAACTCTAATATTAAAAAAATAAATAATATATAAATAATAATAAGTAATAAATATTTAAAAATTCAATATATATTTTAATTAATATTATATTGTAAAATCTATAATAAATGTATAATAAATTATAATATAATAAGTTATAATAATTTATATATAAATTGAGTTTATACCATAAATCATATGTAGTTTATTTTTAATGTTAATAGAATACTACAGAAAAACAGACAAAAACATTTCTAAATAATCAAAATCAATTAAAAAATTATTGCTAATTCCCCTTCAAATATAAACACAAATCAAAAAGAATTGCAAATAAATTTTCTAAGAATTTGTCTAGCTCTCTCTCACTCTCTCACTCTCCCCCTCTCTCTCTCTCTCTCTCTCTCCCTCTCTATCTGTTCAGCCACATACAAATTGAATAGATTTGACTCCATGGCCGTAATGCGATATGCTCCGATAATCAATAATCATGCTGCGAGTCTTTGGCAAATTGGGTTTGCCGCCGTAATCGCATTAGATAAGACAATTGTGGGCGGCCCTCGGCTGGGGCGTGGCAGGGTGAATTAGATTCGTTGAGCAGCTGCTGCTGCTATCTGCTATCTCTACCGATTCATATTAAACTTAACTTAACTCATTTGTTTGCCAGCCACGCCACGCCCACCAGCACCGCCAGCACGCCCACTTTTGAAATGCCCAATGCTTTCAGGGCAGACAAATCGCTAGCAATTTAAAGCGTGCTGCCAAGCAACTAACTTGCCACTTATGCAGAACAGCAGCTGGCAATTGGGGCTGGGGGATGGGCGGATGAGTGGAGGGGTGGAGGGGCGGGGGCGGTGCTCATGCTGCAACATTCGGGAAGAAGCCTGGGGAATGTGTGCTAATGTAGTTTATGCCCACAATTTAGCATTTGGAACGCTCACAGCTGCAGTGAGTCGCATAGGTTCGCCTAATTTGCATATTGTCGGATGCAATTGCATTACGACCCATTCGCAGCAGGCAGAGATGCAGGACGAGCTGAACGTTAAGCAGTTTGCTGGCTGTGGTGTGGGCGGAGAGGGCGGCGAGGGAGGAGGGGCTGGGGCAACCTAATCAATTCGCTGTTGTTGTGCGTTAATGAAATGAACCGTTCCACGAAGCCAAAGAGCAGCTGGACACACACACACACATGCACACCGAAGCACGCATTTCCATAAAAACAAAACGGAACGAAAGTCTAGACTTTTGCTATATAGAGCGAAGAGCGAAGAGCGAACAGCTCACTAATTACTCTGCATATGAAAATGTAATTATGTATGTTGAAAATAAGTAAACATGTGGCAAGCAGCCACAAAGAGCTGCAGAGTCGAGGTTAGACCACTGCCAGCAACAGCAGCAGCAGCAGTAGCAGCGGTGGCAGCAGCAGCGGTGGCAGCAACAAGCTGACTGCTGAGGCGCACACACACATGGCTTCACTGTAGCTGGCCGAGGTGGCAATTATTTAAGAACCTAAAACGCAGCCAACACTGTGCAACATAATTAAATACATGCTCAACATGCCTTGTCTTGCCGAAATTAAAACTACACCAAGCCAGCCGAGGCACCTGCAGCAGGAGCAGCAGCAGCAGGAGCAGCAGCAGCTAAACGAGTTAATGCTTAAATTAAATGCACAAATTTGTAAGAAAATAGTGCAACATGGCATCAGAGCAAGCTGCACATAAAAGCATAAAGATGTGGAAATAAAATTTAAGAAATATAAACATAAATTGCAGGAACTACAGAACTTTGACTGTAGTAAAGCTCAGCAATAATTGAATTACATAATTATTTTTTATTTAAAATGCCAAAGAGCTAAAGCCAAGTCTATAAAAAATCTTAAATTGTTTTTTATATGTATATTTAATATTTTATTTTATTTTATTTTTTATTTTTAATTTTATTTTATTTCATTTTATTTAATTTAATTTTAATTTTTATTTATTTTATTTATTTATCTTTTATTTTATTTTATTTTCTTTTATTTTACTTTATTTTATTTTTTTTTTTTTTATTTTACTTCATTTTATTTTACTTTACTTTTCTTTCATAGAAATCCCCATTGAGTAGAATTTGCAGCTGGCGCAATTGGCCAAGGTCTGCGCGGCTTTGGCAACACTTTTAGCTCCGCGGACCCAAGCGCAGCTGTTGGCTTGCGCCGGCCACAGCGAAGTAGGCAAGTGCCACGCCTGGCCCACGTCAAAGCCACTTAGGGTAGCCAGCAAATGCGTGGGCAAAGTATTAGCAGAGCTCGTGACAGCTTAAATTTCCACAGCGACATTTTTCTGTAATTGTTGTTGTTGCATATTTCTCAATTTTTTTGCTCACTCTCTCGCGTTGTTTTATTTACTTTTCTTGTATTTTTTTGTCTCTCTCTCTTTGCTAGAGGAAACACAAGGAACTGCCAAATGGCTGGCGCAAAGCGGAAGAAAAACTAAAACAAATGTCAGCCGTAGTTGACGCGTAGCCACCGACCAACCAAGCAGCGCGCCACTTGGCGCACCACCACCCCCTCAACAGCATCAGGGCAGCCAGGCAGCCGGGCAGCCGGGCAGGCAGCGAAATGCAAATGTCATTTGCAGTTGACACTTGACTCAGCACTTCGCACTGTCCTGGGGCACTTTGGGGTTTTCACCTGCGACGACTGCTGCTGCTCCTGCTGCTGCTCCAACGGCAGCTACTGCATGCAGTTGTTGGCACAATGGTACACACTCACACCCTGCGCCCGCACCACATAAAGAGGTTAAATAAAAAAGGAGCAGAGCTGCAAAAATATATATGTATGTATATAAAAAAAAAAAAAAGCAGCTACTAAAGTCAGCTGAACAGGAACAAAGTCGTGGCCCCACTGGGGCAGCTGGCGCGTCCACGTTGTCGTTGTCGCTGTCGTCTTTATGCAGCATTCTCGTGGTCGTCATTAGGAGGGCATGCGTCAAAGTATGCGCTTTGTTTTTGCCAGCACTGCTGCGTGTTAATAGCCCCCCAACCACCGAGGCAGACGCCGCCGTCGACATTTTGCATGACTTGACACAGGGGGCGGCGCCACTGGGGCGTGGCAAGTCAAGTGTTGCGTCTGGCGTGCGAGGCGAAAGTGAGTGAGAGTGTGCGTGTGTGTGTGGGTGCACGGCTTGTGTGCACTGGCATTAAATGTGAAACAGAGCAGAGCTCCTTAAAGTTGATAAGGAACTAGCTAATGAAATTAATACTAAATATTTGAAGCAAACGTCATTTTCATTAATTCAAGTTAATTAAGAGTTAATTTTATTAGACACAGGGCAACTTTATTTTTCCAGGAATCCAGCTCGAATTAGCTGTGTGTGTGATGGGGCGTATGATTAATAAATGCGTGTGGCTCATCAAACGCCGCGTTGGCCATTTCGTGAACTAAGCAAAGCTCGTACAGCTTTTTGCTTATGCACGACACATTTATGCAATAGATGGCGCTCATGTGCCGAATTATGAATTGTAATAATGAAAAGCGATTATAATTTGAATACTACTGTTATTTAATCAGATTTATTTGGATATAAAATTAAAAAATAAATTCAAGTTGATAGCTTGATAAATATAAAAATAAAAAAATAATAATAATTATATATACTTTTCATTACTTTTTTAATTAAAAACCAATTATTTAAATTGTATTTTTGATATATATTTATATTTTTTCTCTTATTTAGACATGGTTAAAAATTAAAACTACATTTACAGCCGCAATTAAATTATATTACAGCTTCAATCAGATGAATTCACACAAAGTTTTCAATCGGCTGTAATAGAAAAATTTATGGTAAAATAAGCCTAAGCTCATTAGTAATAATATATGTGCATATTTTCTAACTTACAACTGTTTTAGCCAGCAAAACAATTGAAACAGCCTGGGCTTTCATACATGTACATATGTATGTATTTAAGTGGATAACTGATTTCGATACCAATACATTTGCTAGCAAATCCAAACGAGAGCGCTCAGAATTTAACTACAGATATATATGTATATAATATAGAAATATTGCAACAGTAGAAACATCATCGGTTGAGTTCAACTTCGGTCAGTCGCTGTTTGGCTTGGCACTCGAACGGCACGCAGCGCACAGCTACGGCGCACAGAGCTATGCACGCACAGCAGGACACACGGGAGCAGTCCTCGGAGGAGACGGCGCTCTGGACAGCGCTGCAGGGGCGGCCAGGCAGCCACGGCAATGGCCGTCACTCGTTTAGCGCCTCGGCAACATCCACGATGACCATGCCACAGAACATCTTCACAAATCCAGCCATACAGCCCTCCAGTGTGATCAATCTGTCCAACTCCACAGATGTGGTCATTGGACCGATGACCCAGTACCAAGGACCGGTCAGCATATATTATATGGATGCCAGCATGCAGACAGCTGCAGGTGAGTCACGAGTCGCGACAATCAACTAGATAAATGCTCTAATCACTGGCTGGAAAATTTTTAATTCGCATTGAGCTCATTTCAATATATGTAAATATTGTGGAAATTCCAAAAAGCTCTGGCTCCGCTTTGTTATTGCCGGGAATGTATGTATGTATGTATGTATACTGAGACATAAACAACTCGACACAAATAAATATGGGAGGATCTGTAGAAAGCTTGGTGCATGAGCGTAGCTTAGCTCACTCGAATGTAAGTGTGCTTCCATAAAACATTATTTACTCTTAGCTAATACACTTGTACATATTCCATATATAAGGAATTCTTCTTCTTCTTATCATATTCAATTGAGATTTTGTTTGTACTTTGAATTTGGAATGGAATACCTTGAGCAGCTCCTCGCCAGCTGTGTTCAATCTAGATTTTTGCAAGGTTTCTTATCAAGCTAAGCAAATGTAATAAGCTCCATTTATCTAGAGTCGAAAGCAAATGCGTGAAAATTGAGAGGCAGTCAAGTAGCTGGGCATAGACAGGCTTACCGTTTGTCCGATTCCAGGTAAACCAGCTGCACAAACACGAGCAGAACACCTTCACTAATACCACGGCAAATCTACTAATACAAGCAAACGGCAAACGGCAAACAGCGGGAGCGCATTCATTTCGTATGCGCGGCGCAGTGCATTGCGCATACGTCATGTTGTCTGGCGACGCGCGCCGCAATTAAAACAAAAACAGATACTGCAAAAGGTACGAAGAAACAAAAGAGAACGAGCAATGAGAGACGTGAAACAAAAGTGCAAAATAAGCAAAGGAAATATACATATGAAAGAGTGTAAGCGATATGGCAAATCCGGACAGCAACAACAACAGCAAGAAGAGTAACAAAGCCCGGCAAAGTATGACGCAGCGACGTCGACGTCGACGACGACGTCCACGTCGTCATAGCACCTGCCCCAGCCACTCCCCTGCGCTACCAAATGAAACATGTCAACTAAGCCGTGCGCTGGGCAGCGCAGGGCAAGAAGTGCCCAGCACACAAACAATGCCGTTCGAGCTGCCAGCGAAGCGTCGCGACTTCGTCGCCAATCGACGCGGCGCACCACTGCGCAGCGCTTTGTCAGTCGTTTCAGTGACGGGTTCAGGTGCGGCAGTTGCGCGCGCCTCGCCATCGGCCAGCGCTCGTTAAACGGTCAGAGGCGGCCACGCTACGTGCCACGCTCTTCAGTACGCGCGGCACATCTCATCCAGATTTCCACAAATTGCCTCAGCTCGTTGTCCAATCATTGATTAGCCAGCTCCCAGCTGGCATGATTCAACCGTTAGTCACAACGCACACAAATTGAACTGAATTCATCTAGCGAGCAAGTTTCTAAAAGTAAAAGTCTACGTGTGTGTGTGTGTGTTTGTTGATAAGTAGCGCGCGAGTGTGTGTGAGTGTGAGTGTGAGTGTGTGTGTATACATACATATATTTACTGGCCGTTGTTATACAAGCACTAAACGTTATAATTAGCGGCCGTCGTCATGAAGCTGCTGCTGAAAGTACATTCCGAGGCGCGTAATCGTCGCACGCCCGAGCGCAACTACACAGCGCCCCCAGCGCCAAGTAGGTGTACTAGCCACAGCTAGAGTGGCACACTTAGCGATTCAGCTCAAGCATTCGTATCATTCTCACCATTGCGATGAACATCGTTTGCAGGAATCAGCAGCAACAGTCGCAACAGCAGCAACAACAGCTCGACCAGCAGCGAGGGGCCTGCACCGAAGCGTAGGCGTGGCAGCTCGAAGGCTCGCCGCTTCACACGCAACTCCATACTGCTGAGCCTGCTCGTCGTCCTGGTGGTGGCCATGGCCCTTGTCATCGTGTTCTTGGAGCTGAGCCGCACGCGCAACGAGTCGGGCCAGAAGTCGATCTACTTTGGCAACACGTTCGAGGACGGCACGTGTAAGTGGGCAAGCAATGCGGCCGCCATAGCCTATTCACAAGTTGTACAGTTCCGAATTTAGGAAACGGTCATCTGGTCATCGAGCGTGTGCAGTGGGGCGCCTCCGATCGCAGCAAGCCGCTGAAGATACCGCTTGAGCACCCCATTCCCTACGTGCTGATCACGCACGTGGGCGTCCAGTCCATACCCTGCGTCAATCTCTACAAGTGCTCCATCAAAATGCGCACCATACAGGACTCGGCGATAGCGGAGAAGAGCCTGCCGGATATCCAGTCCAACTTTTACGTAAGCAGACCCACAATTGCACACAAATTCCCAGCACGTTCATCCGGCTAACACACTTAGTTTCTCTATCCCTCTCTCTCTCTCTCTCTCTCTCTCTCTCACTCTTTTTTTGGACATTTCGCTTTCCGCTCGCTGCTTACGCAAATTGTATTGACTCGAGCCCAGGTCTCCGATGAGGGCAACATATATGTGGGTCGCGGCTGGGACTGGGCCAACACGTATGCGAATCACACACTCGCCATCACATTTATGGGCGACTATGGCCGCTATGTGCCCACACCCAAGCAGCTGGAGGGCGTGCAGTTCCTGCTGGCCCATGCCGTGGCCAATCGCAAAGTGGATTTAGACTACAAGCTGGTCGCACAAAATCAGGTGAGTTTGTCTACCTCGCTGGCTAGCGGTTCCAGCTCGCCCAAGCTCAATAAAATTAAAGTGCAGCTAAGCGTTTCGTGCCCTGCCTGAGAATTCTATAAACAAAAATTCAAGTGAGCAATTCAGTTCAGATAGGCCTGCTGCTATTTGCCAACTGGAATGCAAGCTTGAGTTAGTTCGAAGTGCTTCAGTATAATTCCTAATGCGCTCAGTCCATAAATGTTTCGCATTATTTCCATTGGAGTGCAATTTATAGACAGAGGCTTAAGGCTATGAATCATGAATCTCTCATATTCATAACAAATTTGGTGACGACATTAATTATATATTTAATATTATATATGGTTCAATATTTAATTTTCATATATTTAATTTAATTATTATTTATTAATTACTTATTTACTAATTTATATAATTTTCCCTTTAAATAAAAATATTATATATTATTTCTATTATTTTCCTTTCAATACTTTCTACCTCTTAACACTCCGTTGTCTTCTTAATTATTAAATATCCATGTAAATAAAGATCCGAGTTCTCAAAAGTTTCCACCGCAAAATAAATGCCAACAATTCTTCTGTAACTTCATGAATAATTCATGTGAATATATAATTCAATCTTATGGTTATTTATACAGATATTTAAGAGCCATTAAATTGTTGTTAAATCAATTTCTACAGTCCGGTCCACAAAGACTCTTAGACTCATTTCTCTTCCATAATCAATGGGTAGCTGCAAATTAATTTTCGAATGTCTTAAGCGTATTATTGATCAGCAAATTCTCTTTCTCTTTCGCTCTCCCACACAGACCAAAGTGACGAAGAGTCCGGGCGTGAATGTCTACCGTGAGATTAGCAAATGGCCGCACTTCTACGGCTGCGGCATGGAGCAGGCGCCCAAGTGCGGCAGCGAGCTGGGCATGACAAGTGCCGCCTGGAATGGTGGCCAATAACTCTGTAGACTTTAAGTGAACAGTTAGCTTTAAGAAACACGCGCACACACACAGACATTCGCATACACATTGTTGCATACAAGTAAACCAAATGATACTTTAAACAAAAACACAAGTTTCAGTTTGAGCCTTATGCAAAAACTTCGATAATATTTTTACTCGGAACCGGTTCGAAGGTGTGTGCCTGCCATACATGTGTTTTATTTATAGAGCACGTATCGCTTGCAGCTTAAGCTCAGCTCGGAAGACGCTCTCTTTGCTGTTGCTCTCTCTCTCTCTCTCTCTCTGTTTCTCTGCGCTCAAAAGCTGTTTTGTTTATATTGCGCGACACTCAAAAGCTGGAAATGCCCAAGCCTATCAGCAAATATAGAGACGGGTTGACTGTAAGTTTATATATAAATATATACGATATGTATATATGTATGTGGCTAGTACAACATCATTATCGATACAATTCACACACACACACACACACATGCGTATGCCGGCAATAATACTTATATTGATGCTGTTTCAGTTGTTGTCGTCGCTGGCTCTTTATGTGTCTGGGAGTTAATTAAAAACTGTATATCATTTGGAAACTATGCAATTTCCACTGATAGCTAAAAAGTCCATTTCATTATTTCAAAGAAAAAATAATATTAGAGCGCTGCCAGCCCTATATAGTGGCTCGGTTTTGTGCTGCTTGTTTACTTGATTTATGTGATCTACTTACCTGATTAGCTAATGACCTATGTTAACAGATGCTCAAGCACTTAATAACTTATCAGTGTGCTGACCAGTGGCACTTCAAAGACAACGAAATAAATAAAGATTAAATTGCAATTTTAATGGGAATCCAATGTAAGTTGGCTTTCGGGTGGGTACAGCTGAACTCGAAAGCCTTGAGATGTTTCCTGATTCTGGAATTCGTTGTGGAGCTTCAAAGATCATCATTAAGAGTTACTGGCTTTTGCACAGGTTTTTACTAGCCAGCTCGAGAGATATATATCTAAAATATACATATGTACATATATACTCAGATTTTGCTTACCGCAAACAAACAACACAGAAAATTTCTGAGAATTTTGTAGCCCACACTCTGCATAGCATCTGTCGTTGTGTACTTGTATTTGTGTTTTTTTGTTGTTTATAAGTTGTACAAACAAAAAAAAACAAAATAGCGCCAAAGGAAAGAAAAAAACAATAGAAAAAACTGTCTAAATATAATCAAAACAGTGAAGCGTTAAACGAGCTGGAGAAAAGGCAAAAACACGAAAAATCATTTATATTTGACTTCACTCAATACTTCGCTGAAAGCCCGAACTGAAAACTGAAATAACTAGGCTGATAGAACGAGTTCTAGGCGTAGTGACACACAGGATGTCTAGATCTGTGATAAACAGAAATTAGCGGAGAACAAAATGTTACTAGGGGTTTTCCTTTTGACTCAGAAGAACTCGTTTGGGTTTATGTGGAACAGAGACTGAATGGAAAATAACGCGCTTATTATGAATATTAACTAGATAGATTTGGGAAACTGGAATCAGCTTCTTAAGTGCAGTAACGAGAAAAACAAGAATAAGCAGAGCTCAAAGCCAACTCCGACATTATTTAGGAAAACCCATTATCAATCGGCTGCAGAGCATAGAGAAAATACGCATTTATAGAGTCGGCTATGGGCGTTTTGTAAAAATTTCCGATGTCGAGTCGTACTCTCTCTCTCTCTCACTGCTCTCCGCTCTCCACTCACTGCGCTCTGCCTCTTCTACTTCGCCTCTATCTACCTGCTGTCTCTCTCAGTTTCTCTCGACGGACGCTCGCTGCAAGGGCCTTCGGCTCAGCGACTCGCAACGCGTTTTGATTGACGCTCAGTTGATCGGAGCCTCTCGAACGTGTCGCTGCGCGTTGACTTCAATTTACCGCCATATACGAAATACAAAAAAAAAATAATACCATTAGCATTATATTTATACGTATACTATATATAGCCTTTGTGTATAACAAATAAAAGCTAATTAATACGTTAGTTTTTCGATTGCTTTTCGAATTATTCAACTGATTACGAAAATCGCGCACTAAATTCGTATTCTTATTGTAAATCAGCCCACGGATGCCTTGAATTTACGGTAATAAAACGCGCACAATGGAATCAGTAATGCAAGCACAATACACTTATTTACACGGAAGCAATGAAACCGATGTTAGAAAGTGACAAAAATATTAAATAAATAAATAAAATACAATAAAATACAATAATCTTATATATGTATATAAATATTGATGAGTGAAGCAAAAAAAAACTAAAACTTAAGCTTGAATATACAAAGAATATTCATATATGAAAAGTGTTGAATATATATAATATATATTATATTTGCATTGTTAAAGCAATATGCATATAAATAATAAAGATAAAGCCCCATCGCAATAAATAAACCAAATCTTATTTTAAAACAAGTAACAGTGCTCTAGGCGAGACTACTCGACTAGGAGATGCCCTAAAACCTGCTAAGAGCTTACAGTCCAATGCAGTATATTTAAAATCTTAAAAAACTATATAAAATTATCGACTTTAAAAATCTCATTTCAATACGCTGGAGTATAATAATCTCACCAGCTGAAATTTATATATTTACTGGCACAGAATTCGGATAAGGCTAATGGAATTTGCGCATTATAAAATTGTAATTGCTCCCTTGGGGGAGTACGTGTGCTGATTGGCAAAACTATGTATATCATTAATACTTTAAGAAACTAAATGAAACATAAATATTTAAAATTAAAAAAAAAAAAAAGAACTCATGCACATTTTGGATATATTTGTAACTGGCTTCCAGCAACTTGACTCTTGGACCAGATCAACCAAATAAATTGTTTACTGGGCTCTGCCATGCCTCCAAAACCATTTTAACTTAATTTCTCATTTTCATTATCATTCATCAGAAAAATGGGAAAGTGTTTGCTGTGAATTTCCTGATCACCTATGCCATGAAAGCCCGTATTGAATGTTACTTTTAATATAGAGCAAAAGTTATTTATATCAAATAGAAAATCTCTACATGAAAGACCAACATTGGCCATAACTAATATACTCTAGAGAACAATATATAAATGAGCGGAGAAATAAAAAAAAAAACGCAATTCATTTGCGCCCAGCGATTCCCATTCCATGATAATTGTTAACACACATGAAACAGACAAGCGAGACTTGGTAATTGCAGTGTGGTTGTTGCTGCTGTTGTTGTGCTTTATTTTATATATTTGACGATCAACACACACACAAATACACGCGCAGCCAGCAATGGCCGCAGCCGCTTAAAAGCCGCTTTGTTTGTATTGGTGAGCAGCTCAGAGACAACGAGGCGATGTCTCGGTGCGCGCGAGCAAACATGTGTGTGTGTGTGAGCTGTTCTTGATGTAGCTGTAGTTGTTGTATTGCGCCATTGTTATCTGAAAAGTGTGCTCTGTGCCAACTTTAACGGGAGCGAGTACCTTATCCCACACACACACACACACACACACTCGATTGGCCGACAGATGTGTCTAAGCCCCCCAGGCTTGATTTTAGGAAATGCCTTGGCATGAAAGAGTTTGTTTGTTAGCTCCACTTCAACCTGGATGATAGTGACAATTATCAAATGTTCCCCGTCAATCAATAAATTATGACGCCACGATGTCGTGACGTTCGACCTTGATTTCGTGCTGTATGTTTGAAAACATTGTGTATCAATACAGTATATGCATATGTATGCATATAGAGAATATATTTGAGCTTTGCTCATGTCATAAAACTGTTTGCAAAGCTTTTCAAGCGGCCAGCCAAGTTCTCGGAATGCATTTAGCAGACTCGCCAATACGAATTATTATAATTAGCATAACTCATGCGCCGTAGCTGAGCGCGCACTTTGACTGAATGGAATAGCCGAGACAGTCTATGGACGGCTCACATGCTCTTCCAAAAACTGGGCTGGTTGCCAAAAAGCTTTCACTACAGCAAGTTGGCTTGTTGCAACTTTTAAAGCCAGCTTATGGCTTAGTTCATATTTTCAAGTAATCAAAATATATTTGCATACCAAATATGTCTCATTTAGGGGCTCAGTTTAAGTGCCTTGGAATATTTTCTAAAAAAAAATAATGTGTTATTGATCCATTTAAAACTGGTTTGCAGCTCTGATATCGTTGATTATGCATCAAGTCTGAAAATTCCTCTTAAAAAATTAGTTAATGCTTAATGAATTATTGAGCTGTTAAGAAATTGCAATATGGAATTCTTAAAGCGCGTCTCTAATGATGATAAACATTGGAATTATATTAGCTAAGAGACCTGCAGAATCATCAATTTAAGAGAGTCACAGATGCGGGGCTAATTAAAGGAGAAACGCCTAAAGAACTTTGCAAAAACCGGGCTTCATTTGAATTGTAAATCGACGCTAGGCAAAGCCAGACGGTTTATGATTTATACAAAAATAAATACCGCCCTGTAACAGGCATTTACATATGCATTATCTTATATATATACATCTATATATATATTCCCTCTCCATTGGCCTCAATTGCTTATCAACAAAACAACAGCGAGCCAAGAATAAACTTATAAAGTTAAAGCTGTTAACATGTAGGAAGTGCATTCAATCATTTTTTTTTTATGAAAAGATTTTCTAATAACAAATTAAATATTTCAGGAAAGTTAATATTTCCCAAGTTGTTCAGCAATAATTAAAAAACAAACAAAATACATTAAACCTTGCAAAACTTGGAGCAGACAGCAAAAATTTAATGATAAATATGCGAAGCGTTGAGTCGCTGAATTTTATCATTTGTTTGCACCCATTACGAATGCGAATTAAGGGTATATTGGTTTTGTGACTGTGTGCATATAGTGAGTGGAAGGAGGCGTGGCAGAGATCTTGCAAAGGGAGACGAGCTGAGCTAAATTTCGTATATTTATTTTCGATATTAATAATTTGATTATGTAGAGAATAACCTTAAAATTCTTCAGGTGCAAGGTATCTTCTAGTCGAGCACTGCCAAAATAAAGCTCTCTTAGTTGTTATCAACATTTTGAGTGAAAACGTAAATTTATTTTCAGATGCTCATGATGTGATGATGTTCGCCTAGAGCCCAGGCCAGGCCAACCGAAAAGCACAAAACATTCTCCACTCATTATTCAGTCAAAATGTTTCAACTGCGCTGCAACAGTTGCTGAGTGCAAAAGCACATATTGAGGAAGAATAACAACAAAAACAAGAAGAAGAACCAGAACAAAGCACAATCACACATTGTAGATATCAGTGCTAGAGGTGCTGCGAAACATGTATTACGACAATGGAACGGAGCTAACCACGAGCACCAATTCAAATTTACACATCATAAATCGCAGCAGCGGCAAGAATTGCAGCACATCCTCAACAGATTCGGGCGTCGGTTTGGTTGACAATGCAGCAACATTCAAGGCGGGGCCAACGACCAAAGATAGCAGCCCGCAGAGCGGCAGCAGAGACTCCGAGGCAACAACAGAGCCAGCACAAACGGAGGCGGAAGCCACGGCGCCAAATCGTATCAGCATCGAGGTCGAGGCGACGGTGAACATCGGCAACAATGCAGCGACGGCTGGCTATCGGCCGAAGAAATCATCACCTGCACTCTCGGTGCGCAGCACCACAATCTCCATTGTGTCCATCGATGAGAATGCCATCGACTCCAGCTGCATTGACAGCGACTCCGAGGCGGAGCCCGACGAGAGCTGCACGGTGCAGAAGCTGGGCCAGCAGATCACCTACCCGCCACAAAGCGCCGAGCTGACGCAGCTCAACAAGGGCATGACGGTGATCAGTCGACAGGTGCTGCCCACGGGCGGAGCTGAGGCGGCTGGCGCCCAGCCCACGCCACCCGATGTGGTGGCCAAGCAGCTGCTCAATGGCAACCTCAGCCTGGCCACGGCCACAGCGCCAGCAGCGACCCAGCAAATTGGCAGTATTGCACTAAGCAACACCACAGACGTCACATTCGGCGACAAGCACTACTACGAGGGTCCAGTGACGATACAGCAGATACTGATCGATAATCGGGAGAAGTGGAAAACCCTGGATGGTGAGACGGGCGGCCAGGAGAATCCTGGATTCAATGCGCAGGGCACGTCCAACGGCAATGCTGCAGGTGAGACAGGAGTTGAGCTTAAAGTTGAGAGAGAGAGAGAGGGAGAGAATAAAGAGATGCAGGGAAATAAATATATGTACATAACTTGTATATCCGACGGACTGACTGTCTGTCCGTTTAACTCTCCGTCCGTCGTGCGTTTGTATTTACGCTTCGCATTCACCTTGGATCGCTTATTTGTTTTATGGGGCGGCCTGTGGCTAACGCTCAACGCGTGCAAATAGTATTTTATTTTATTTATTATTATTATTATTATTATTATTTTTTTCCATTTTTCTTTTTGTTTACTGAGCGCCACAGCGCAGACATTTTGAAGGGAGAGAGAGAGAGAGAATCAGCGTAAACAGAATGTGGAGAGCGAAAAGTGTTAAATGTTTGCGAGTGGCAAATTATCATGATTTAAAACAGAAAAGCAATTTTATAGTAGCACTAAAAAGTTCCCAGAATTGATAAGAATGAGAATATGCAAATTAATATCTAGCTATAAATAATTTGGAAAATAACTCTTGCTAGACAAAATTGAATATGAAATGATTTTGTTTATGCAAATCGAATGGCAATTGCAGAAATGATGCAGATTGCGCATACGCAACGTGTGCGGCAGTAAATTGCGCATCTGACCTGTGGCCATAAATTAGACGGAATTAGCCAAACAACGCCCACAGAGATGGCCAAGAGCAAACAATAACAGTGGCAGCTGGCTACAGTTGCAATTGTTTACTCGAACAATTCTCAGTCTAGCCATAATTCAAGTCAACAAATAAAATTCTAGTGAACTAATTGACGCGGTTTAGCTGTTTAGTTAAACTCACTTAACTAGTCGGTGCTTCCCCTTAACTAGAGTATAAAGCTGGGATCAAAGTCACGTGCCCCCCGGCAGCAGGGGGACTTTTTATACGATTTTGCTGTACACTGGAAATTAATTACTTTCTCCAACATGCTAAACAAGCGCCGATAGTATATATGCAATGTATAGACTAAAAAAAAGAACCGTTCTATAAGGAATGGCGATTCAGTTATACTCTGATTTTAGCAGTTGCTGTCCAGAAATGTCGAGGAACGCACTGAATTATTGTGTAAAGTGTCGCGGGCTCATCCATCGTGATCGTCTCGCGTGCGGGGCGGCGTGTGGGCGTGCTTCTCATGCCAAGTGCAGTGGCTTGAGCGAGCAGCAGTTGCAAATTATTCACAGCTCGCCAAATATAAACTGGCACTGCGACTCCTGCCAGCGGCAGCTATTCAATGTCAAGCTCGAGCTGTGCCTGAAGCAGCATGAGAAACGTTTAGAGATTTTAGAGCAGGGGCTAGCGATTCGTAAATGTATGCGATACGCATCTATGTAGTTAGTTAGGTGTTACCTCACATCTGATTGAAATATTCTAATGATCCTTTATCTCTTCCACAGGCGGCAAGGTGAACAAGTCCTGCAAGGAGCCCGTTCTGTGTCCATTTCTGCCAAGCAGTATCGCCACGAAGGCTGTTTTCATAACGGCTGCATTTGCCCTCTTTACCATCGGCCTGCTCGTCGTCTTGGCCACGACCACAAACATATTTAGCAAATCGTTAAGTAAAAGTAAGCTTGGTGACGGCGAAGACTCAAGACTAAATATTCCAATCAATTCAAAAATAGGTACAGTTTTGTTCTCGCTTTTCTGTGTGTGCGTTAAATTTTGTTAAATTGGTGCTAGCAATTGGCAAGCCTAAACCCTCTCACATTTCCACACTTCTATCTCCCACTCTATTCTACTTTTAATTGTGCCTAACCAATGCAAATATTCTAAACTATCGTTAATTATTTCAAATTACTTAACATCGCGGCAAACATATATGACTTTATATATATGACTTTAAATTATCGCTGAGTGTGGGCAACTGTATCGAGCAGTGTTGCAAAGTGCTTTGAAGTGAAACTGTGACCTTAGTTCAATTGACTGGAATATGAATAGTTTTTAGTGCCTGCTTGATAACTAAATCTAATAGCAAATGACTTCGTGTCGCAGATCCTTGGAGAGTGCTAAGTGTTGCCGAGTGGGGTGGACGGCAGCCCAGAAAAGAGTTAACGAAACTAGTTCCGCCAGTACATCGTGTCATCATATCGCATACGGCCGCCGAGGGCTGCGAGACGCGGGTAAGCTTAATAGCTCATCAAACTCAGAGAGTGAGAGAGAGAGAGCGAGAGAATCGGTATCAGTTTTCAATCATCTTCCGTTCGCTTTAAGGACGTGTGCGAGTCTCGAGTGCAAATCGTGCAGAACTTTCACATGGATGGCTGGAATTGGGATCACATTGGCTACAACTTTCTCGTTGGGGGCGACGGTCTGGTCTACGAGGGTCGCGGCTGGGAGCAACAGGGCGCCCACACGAAGGGCTATAATACAGACAGCATTGGCATCTCCTTCATTGGCACGTTCGTCAAGATCAGGCCAACAGATGCCCAGCTGTACGCGTGCCAGAAACTGCTCGAAGAGGGCGTGCGGCTCAAGAAGCTGGCGCCCGACTACGACCTATACGGCCATCGGCAGCTGAGCGCCACAGAGAGTCCCGGAGATGTATTGTACCGAATCATACAGAGCTGGCCGCATTGGACTAATAAGAGGCCCACTTAGTAGTATATAAGTAGATATCTGTATGCTCCAGATGTAATATATTTAAGTAATTAAAGCAACATATAATCTCGCTGAATTCCCAATGAATTTTCTTGCTTCACCTCCACCTTCGCCCTACTGAAAATCATTTAAAATAAGCCCATAACGCGTTCTACATAACTGTGCCGTTAAAAAAGTGCTGTGAAGTGTTGAAAAGAGAAATTGGCAATCGTGGTGTTGAGTTGACTGGAATATGAGCTTATAAGATATATACCCAAATATATATATATATATATTAATATCTATCTATGATGCACGTATGTATGTATATATTTATGTATCTATCTTTTGCACGCTTCTCTGTATATATGTGTGTGTGAATTGTAAAATCCTGATGACTAACCAAGGCTTCTCTGTGCGCAGCTGTCGACGGAAACAATCTCGTCTTGGTCAGTATTGACGAGTGGGATGGCAAAATGACGCGTTCGCCCCTGGAGCGATTAGAGCAGCCCGTGAATCGCGTAATTATAGCACACACCGTAACGGAGAACTGCGTCACACTGGTAAGTCCAACTCTCGACGCGGATTCAGCTGAAGAGTTCTGTATCGCTAAACTGAAATTTATGCCAGGACGCTTGCTCGTATCGCGTTCGCGCCATGCAAGCGTATCACATGGATTCCTTGGACTGGCCGCAGATCGGCTACAATTTCATGATCGGCGGCGATGGGCGCGTCTATGTGGGTCGCGGCTGGGACTTTGTTGGAGCGCACACCTTCAACTACAACAGGAGTAGTATTGGCATCGCCTTCATTGGCGGCTTCGACAAGACGGAGCCAACTCCTCTGCAGCTGCGCGCCTGCCAGCTGCTGCTGGAGGAGGGCGTGCGCCTCAAGAAGCTATCTGCAAGCTATCAGCTCTACGGCCACAGGCAGCTGCTGGCCACGCAAAGCCCGGGAGATAAGCTGTACAGCATTATAAAGACCTGGCCGCACTTTGCAAAAACCACCTAAGGAATATAAATGTATTTGTAAATGTCTCATTGTATTTACATATAATAAATGAAATGATATGAAACAGTAGGAATGGAGTTTTATTTGCCACGCTTCTAGCCCAATTAGAATACTAAGATATTCCATACCCTAATCATCTAACCAACTCGAATCTTATCTATATTTCACAGATAGTGAGAACATTGGCGGCGGCTTGGTGCTGCGCTTTGTGCCACGCGCTGTTTGGCTGGCCCAGCCGGCGCAGAGGCATCTGCCACAGCTGAATCTGCCCGTGCCCATGGTGATAGTCCTGCCGACCAACTCGGAGAACTGCAGCTCCCAGGCCCAGTGCGTGTTTCGTGTGCGCTTCCTGCAGACCTTCGATATCGAATCGCAGCAGCGGGACGATATAGCCTACAATTTCCTGATTGGCGGCGATGGCAACGTCTACATGGGCCGTGGCTGGGATACGGTGGGTGCTCACATGAATGGCTACAATACGGTCAGCTTGAGCTTCGCCTACATTGGCTCCTTCCGCAAGCAGCAGCCGTCGGCCAAGCAGCTGAGCGTGACGCGCCTTCTGCTTGACTATGGCGTCGAGCACGGCAAAATCAGCTCGAATTATCAGCTGGTGGGTGCCAGCACCTTGGCGCCCACAGTCACCGAGTACAAAGCGGAGCTGCTCTACCAGAGCTTTGCCAATTTCACACACTGGACAACGGCACACTGAACAATCCAAAAACTACAAATTATAATTGCGCTCTCATGACTGGTCATATTATTCCCCCTCCCCAATGTAATTGTGTGGCATATTTGCCATAGCTATGCACTAGTCGTAAGCTTTCTATTTTAAAATGAAATAATGAAATTATTAATGATGATTTATTTATGTAGTTTTATTTTCATTCAGTTTATTAGTATTGGGTTTTTCTCGCACTCAAAATCGTCAGCTTTGTTGGAGCCGGCGCTATCTCAGCTATGTCTATATCAGCGCTGCTCGGCTGCAGAGATCGCTGGGGGAGCTGAGCAACAGAATAGACTATATAAGTGTGTTAGGCTCCACCTCCCAGAGCAGAGCTTGAGCAGAAATATATAACACAAAGTTGAGGGAGCGAGAGAGAAATACATATGAAATACATACACAATACACAATATTATAAAAAAATACCCTGGAAATGGCAACTACAATAGCAATACCATTTCAGCTTCCATGCACAGCCTCTTACTCCCCAATTCGATGCCAATCTACCCCACTTAGCTTCAGTATACAGGGTATTCCATTGAGCTTGCATAGCAAAACTCACACTTAAGCTTACGAAAAGCTCAGCGCCACGCTGCTGCTGCTGCGCAGTTCATTTCGGGGATTTTTCTGTGAGCAACAACAAAATATACAGAGAGAAAGAAATACAAAATGAGCCAAACAATATTTCTGATTTTATGTTCAGCAACGCGCGCACGAGTGAGTTCAGTTGACGACGAGCGAGCGGCTTGGCCAGACGGACGAGCTGTGATCCCTTACAGATTTGATTTTATTAGACATGAAAAACCCAACATTACCAACGAGCATCGAAAGTCAAACGCCGTCTACAAATGTAAGGCCACTGCGTGGTTTGCTGTTGAAGTGTGGCCTGCTGTTGGCAGTGGTTGCCTCAACCGGCGCTTACTTCGTGTGGCTAATGAGTAAGGAATCCCCTAACGCCATGTGAATATTTAATTGATTCAAATGCTCATCAGACCAAAGCAGCGAGCTGCTCAGCACCGGCCTGCGCATTCTCGATCGCAGTGAGTGGCTTGGGGAACCACCGAGCGGATTCAAGCGGCTGCCCACGCCCGTTTCAAATGTCATCATACATCATACGGCCACGGAGGGCTGCGACACAGAGGTGGGCTTAGATATAATTAAAATGAAATATAATTAACATACATATATAAAATCAACAGGAAGCGTGCATTTATCAGATGCGTATGATACAGACGTTCCATATGGCCTCGCTGGACTATACGGATATTGCCTATAATTTTCTGGTGGGCGGCGATGGCCAGGTGTACGTGGGTCGCGGCTGGCATGCACAGGGCCAGCACATCTCGGGCTATGGCTCTGTCTCACTCAGCATTGCCTTCATAGGGACCTTCACGAATGTGGCCCCGGAGGATAAGCAGGTGCGTGCAGCCAAGCGGCTGATGGACGAGGGCGTGCGCCTGCACAAGCTGCATCCGGACTATCACATCTATGCCCACCGGCAGCTGAGACCCACCGAAAGTCCTGGCCAGAAGTTGTTTGAGCTGATGCGGCACTGGCCACGCTGGACTGAAGATGTGACCTCATGTAAGCTCCATTCACTTCTGTCAATTATCCCGGAGCCTAAAGCCAACTTTCTGTTTCAGTGCGCAGATTGAACGACGAGCCGTTGAGGCTTGTGGCACGCGCTGCTTGGCTGGCCCAGCCCGCTCTGAAGGAGCTGCCTCCCCTGGAGCTGCCAGTCAAAGCTGTGCGCTTTGAGTTCACCCTGTCCGAGCCATGCACCACACAGGCATCGTGCACCTTTCACATGCGCTTTTTGCAAATCCTGCACATCGAGACCGAGAACAAACAGGACATTAACTACAATTTCGTGGTGGGTGGCGATGGCAACGTCTACGTGGCCAGGGGCTGGGACGCTAGCTGCGAGTCTGCGACCGACGCAGATAAGCCACAATTGGATGCGCTCATTGTGGGCTTTCTGGGCAGGTCGAAGCCCAATGCCAGTCAAATGAAAGTCGCACAGGATCTGCTTGCACAGGGCATCAAATTGGGCAAGCTGGCGAAGGACTATGAGCTGATAGACGAACTGAAGTAGAGCTGCAGCCAGACGCGGCTTAGCCAGTGCCCCAGCAAGGGGCGCCATTCCGTGAACTTCACCAAATACTATTCTACATTAATTGATAGTCCCAGTTAAATTATATAATAAATTTACTTTTTTTTTTTATTTTAATATAAATATGCCTTTATTTAGTATTAACAATTGCTCAATTTGTATTAATAATTTTGGACAGCACACTGGCTAATGGTTAAAACCCTTGTTGATCTCCCAACTTAACTATGTACACTCGATATATGTATGTACTTATTATATCTGCGGCGACTCCGCTAGATGACACTTTGTGCTTACAACAATTGGCTAAATGAAACGCGTAATTTGGAACTTTGAACATGGCTACTACATAAACTTAGTTAATGATGCTACAGAAATAACGACAGATTCTGGCATATCACATGGGTGCGGTTGATCGGACGATTAATGATCCAAGATGCGCATGTTGCCAGACACGATTTTGTTCTCCAAGATGGCACCGGCGGGTATATCGATACGATCGCCATGATTGGCAATGATGATCACAGTGCCCTGCAAGGGAAAACATGATTTAAATACACAGATTTGGATGTAAATCCAGTGCAACTTACGCGCAAGGACACACCACGGCCGAAGGTCACATCCCCGCTGACTGTCAAGTGGTCCAGCTCAATGATGTCGGGTATGTTGGCAAAGCGACCCAAGAACTCTTTGACTTTCGAAAAGTGATTTTCGCCCAGCTTGACCAGGGGCGTGGTGGGGAACATGCGCTGCGGCGACATCACCAGGCTGCCATTCTTAAGCGTATATAAATTCGACATGACGAGCAGCAGATCCGACGACTTCTTCACGGGCAAGAACCGAGAGCGTGGCACATTGATGCCAATGGCGCCATCGAAGCACTTCATGGCCGCACCCACCGCCGTCTCCAGCTGAATGACGCGCAGTCCGTTCTCGAGTGTCTTGTTGTTTACAATGATCTCCATGTTGAGCGTGCGCTCGCGCAGCACTCGATCAATGGCTGTGGCAACAAAGCAGCATTTTAGGCATCGCATTTGATTGGCAGCCCCAAAAGTAGGCTAGGCCAACAGCACTTACCAGCCAGATTGGCCCAAATGTTGTTGGTATTGAAGAACTTGAAAGTCTTGACGGACTTGAAGTCATCGACGTGCTCCTTGGGCACCTGAGCGATTTCCAGCAGACGCAGCTTGTTCTCCATTTGAATGAGCGTGCCACCCTAAAAAAGGCAGAGTATATGAGTATGCGAAGAGGACGTCCTCTGCTTCTTAGTTACCTTGACATCAGCACGCGTTTTGTCGGTCACCTCCATGACGAATTCGAAGGGCGTGCTGGCGCGCTCCTCGCCCACCAGCTTGTTGAGTATGTTCAGGTCGACGGTGGCGCCCAGATTGTCAATATTGGAGAGGAAGCAGTACTCACGACCCTCGTCAATGAATTTCTTCAGCAGACCCGAGTTACGGAAGGTATCGTAGAAGTCGCCGTGACCAGGTGGATACCAGCTGAGCGATTAGATTAGATTCGATTAGATATTTGCAGATTTGTAATGCCAATTGGTGACTTACGCCTCCATGTCCTTCTCCACATCAAAGTCCTTGGCGACGGGCAGGAAATGCTCGCGGCTGATGCGCGGAAAGCAGCTCTGATTGAAGGTGTGTATCTGCACACGGAATCCCTTATATTTGCGCACAATCTTCTCCGTGTCCTCGTCCGTATTGAAGGAGTTCATTAGCACGAGCGGCACATTGGCATCGTATGTCTTATTGAGATGCTCAATTTGCTGTACCGTCAGATCCAGGAACGTCAAATCGGAGCGCACGGGAATAACACTCTTGGGTCCGTGGCAGCCCATGGAGGTGCCCAGACCACCATTCAGCTTAATGACCACCAGTTTGTCCAACATGTTCCGTATCTACATGGCAATTGGAAACGATTAATAATGGCTCTTCGATATCTGTTTTATTTTTTAGGGTTTAGCACAAAAGGATTTGGTTAAGCAAAATTTGGAATTAAGCGCAAGTGCTAAAAGAACCAAAGCATTAGCTATAGTTAAACGAATAACAAAAAAAGCGTTCCAAAAGCCCGTTAAGATTAAGAATTGAGCAGAGAGTGAGAGCGAGATCCAGATCGGGAGCAAGAGCGAGAGTAGGAGGAGAAAGCTGAACACGAAAGCGCCAGAGAGAAGTGTAGAGTTAAGAAAACGCTTTTACCTCATTCTATATATGATATGTATATATGGGCAGACATTAGCCGGCCATTAGGGTGGCCATTGCAACAAGAGCAACGCCAACAATGAGTGCAATTCAGTGTTCAAATCAAAGTACACGAAATATGAAAAGATTAAGAAAATATAATTTTTAATGACATACATATATTCAAATATATTTATATATGTACATAGGTATGCGCACAAGAGAGTTGTCGTTAGTTGGTTTGGGGCGCATGTGTGTGTCTGTGTTTTTGTTTGTTTTGGGTGTAGGAAAGATACCAGGGCCAGCAAACTATTAAAGGTCATCCATAGATTTAAGATCAATACATACCTGCTCGTTCTTGGGCGCCTTGAGATCAGTATAGTTCATGACCGCATTTTCGGGCAGCTTCTGAATTTTGTTCCAGTCCAGCGCAGGTCCCTCTGGAAGGATAACGCCAGCTTATTGACATGGAATCTTATGGAATGCGTAAAACTTACCCTCCTGCAGGAAACGTCCGAATAGATCGGCAAAGCGACCCATCTCCGCTTGCAGTGCTGGACGACGAGCCGGCTCCGTCGTCTGGAGCAGACGATCCACTTCATTCTCGAGCAGACGCAGTGCATCGCGCTTGGTTACCTCGTGGAACTCCTTCGAATCGGATGGAGCGCGCTGGTGGCCGCGTATCTAGAAAATAGAAACAACAAGCATTAAAATACACTGCAAGAAATGATGGCAACGTAACGATTAAGCTGCGTGCCGAAGCGCAACCAGCTGAACGCACTCGAGTGACAAAAATTGCAACAACAACAACAACAGAAACTGTAATAATGAAATAAAGTGAGTGTGGGAGATAAACGACTAGCAGATATCCTATAACTAATATAAAAAAGCAATAGAGATAGGCAGAGAGAGATAAAAATAAAAGAAATAAAACAAAAAAGCGAGAGCCATGGAGAGAACGAGAGGCAGAAAATCACAGGAGACCTGAAAAGTAGAGGGAGAGCGGGAGAAAATTACAAGAGAATAATATATATAGACAACTGCTAGAGAGAGCTGAGAAGAAAATAGAGGGTAATGGAACGGTTGAGTGGAGAAATAGATGCTGCATCAAAGAACGAATGGAACGAAATATTCATAAATACCCAGCGCTTACAACGATCTTCCAGGGTATTGGGTACAATAAGACAAATTGTTGTTGCTCGCGTAATGCGTGCCTGGGGCAATTACAGGCTTCGCCTGGCAGCCAGACGCCCGCATCTTTAGCGCTAGTGGTGACAGTTTTCCTTAGACAGCAATGGCAAGCAGTTGGCTTTCATTTCTGCTTCTGCTGCTGCTCAGTGTGAGCGAGCAGACTGCAAAAGCAAACGTGGTAGACGATGGCTTGAGGCTGGCAGGACAAATGTTTGGCATTAATACGGCCGCAGATGTGGCTAATCTGGTGGCCAAGGCATTCTCCCGGGTGTCTACGCGCAAGAAGCCAGATTTGATGAGCGTGCTGCAGCAGGGCATCGAATCGCAGCGTCAGCAGCAGTTGGAGCAGGAGGAGGAGCAGCAGCAAGAGGAGGACAATGCGGAACAGGAAACTGAGCAGGAGAATGCACAAGAGTCGCCGCCTGTGGATAGCGACAATCGCCGCCGACCCATGCAGCTGAACACCGTGCAAATGCTAACAAATATGATGCGCATGATTGGCTTCGATCCACGCAAGCTGGGCGCACTGGCTCTCAATGCAATTGTGATGATTGCCCAAGCGGTGCGCGCTCGCGAAACAGTAGGCGAAACACCCGTAACTAACTCTAGTTCTCTCCCACAGATCGGCAGCACGATCATGCAGGCAACACGGGGCGGCAACGGCGGTAATCCAGACACTGGACCCGAGGCGCTCTTCGAGCCCAACGAACACCAGCCACGCTCTCTGTCGCCCGGCAGCCCCATCGATTGGTTTTTGAAACGTCCGGGCGCCCATACCCAGCGCATGCTGCGTCGCATCATGGACCGCCGGCTGCCCGAGCACATTGTCGACATGATTGAGTCCAAGGAGTCGGCGAATGGCAACGAGGCTGCCTGCCTGAAGCTGCTCATGTGCAAGAGCTCGCCCATTATTTGGGGCATGCAGAACTCGCTGGAGAAGCGCTTGGCTGGCGAGCAGGAGGAGTACGACGAGCAGAGCTACATGAATGCAAATGCATTCTTCAAGTATATGCCCAGCCTGGATGAGTTCAGGCAGCACAGCGAGAGCTGTGAGTCGCGCTTTGCCAAATATTGTCCACGCAATGGCACATTGAAGACGGCCTAACAAATATACATACATATATTATATTCCAGGCTGATGGAATAGAAATTTCACAATGTTTTTGTTTTTTACTTAGTTTTAGTTTTCGTTTAGTTGCCGTCAATAAATCAATAATTTGTTTGATAATTAAATGCAACCTTTGTGACTGAGCGATAAGCGGCGCCTCTAGGGTAGATCTAATGTTCCATGAAACGACCTCTAAAATATGAGATTATATGATCTGTCTGTGGCTTACATGTAAATACCTGACTTTGTCAACCTTCCGACTTTGCTTTGGATTATACGCTATCATCACCGTGATAAGCATTACCCAATAACTCAGCGTGAGTTCATTAAAATTATCTACAAATGGGTTAAGTACTAATTACCCACATCCTACTCTGGATTGAAAAGCCCCAAACGACATTGTCATCATGACGAAATCACTAATTTTGGCCAGTTATAAGAATAGAAATTCTTAATATGTAGATATTTTCAACTTTCAAACGTTGAAACTTTGCATTGACTTTGTGAAATTCTTTACAGCTCAAGGAAAGCAAAAAAGCACAAATGAACAAATTGAAGAAAAGTGTATTCTACTACTTGGTTAGTTTCAAGTACTGCACGAATTTTAACACCACAAATTTCACCAAACAGAGAATATTAGACTCTATTCTAATTTTGCAATCAGACCAAAATACGAAATCATTACAAAAAGCAAAAACCGTGAAAGAGTTACGATTATCAAAGCGTGCTTATCAATCATTTGTATAGCTATATAATAATGATTCGTTAAATATACTGTGACGGACAAACAAATAACAAAGAATAACAAAAGCTTTAAGTTTGTTGTGCAATTATTTGCAAAAACTGTGAATTGACATTCGGCAAGGTTGTCGATGCCCACTCGACTGATGAGATGCTGTCTGTCTGAGCGATGCTGCTATTAGCTTAACAAACGGCAGATTCAATCATGTTTATATAGCTAATATTTGCCCTGGCCAATAGCGCCATCTAGTGGACAAAAGCGTAAGCGTGTGCGTGTGCGAATCAATTAAAATCGACGACTTTTGCAAAATATACACAGATGTATGTATATGTATATGTGTGTGTCTATGTAATTGCTATAATCATTTTTCCAATTGATGGCAGACAAATAAAATTCAAAATAATATATAAAAAACAAAAACCATCAAGCAAAAGCGATCAGACACGCCTTCAGGAATGAGACGCTTGCGGTTGCTTTATTTATAAACGACGCCAAGCCCAGAGTGATAAGACAAGTGTCAGAGGGCAGGTGTTTGAACTTCAGGGAGGTCAACTGTTCAGATAAGTTATATGACAACGTACTACGACTCTTCTTTACCTCTCTCTCTCTCTCTCTCTCTCTTTCTCTCTCTCTTGTTGTCTTTATTATTAAAGCTTTATATACATACATAATACATATTTTTAGAATGCAATTTGTGTGATTGGCATATTTATTAGCTCGAAGGAGTTGCCTAATATACCTTATACTGTCGAGCATATTAGTTCGTAAAAGTGAAGACTTTTAATTGGTTTTTAATGCTGTCTTAAGTGCGTTTTTAATTAAGACTATTAAAAATAGCTGAACTGGTGACAGAGCTCATTTTTAGCATCTATTCAGAGCCACTATGAGCTCAACTCTTTCGAACTCGAAAATGTTTATCACAATAGGGGAAGAGAAAAAAACTCCGTACAAGTTAATTAAAGTAATTTTTAGTTGCACCTGCGGAGCACATTGTTGTTCAGATAAGATTGCCACTGAGTAACATTGTCGATTTCTATTGAAACATACAATGTGGCCGGGGGCGACTACATATGTATGTATTGATGTATCTACATATATCATGAAATATGTATATGTATAATTATGTTTTCCATGTGCGCAAGATAACGATATGGAATTCACTAAATTTGCAGTGCCTTCGCTTAGAAAAAACTTTGGATTTACATATTTATGTATGTATATATATTGTCGTAGTACTCGAATGCACTTGGCCCATATATCGCATAGCGAAACCTTTGCCAACTTACACCGGCTCGCTGCAGCAACACATCAATGGGTCGTATGCCTGACGTCATTGCCTAAAGCGAAAATGAATACGAGCTAACTGCTGTTGCTGCTGTTTAGTTAGCAAAAGAGACACTTGTGTTTTTCTTTTTGTTTATCTTGTGATGAATTCGTTTTATTCTTTAGTATATTTGCTTCGCTGCTGTCTTGAAAATGCTACACAAAAGCGCGCTGGAATCTGCGTAAACAATTCCGACGAATCCCGACTCTCGAACTTGGCGCGACGACTGTGCAATTGAAAATACGGCTAGAATTCAATATGAATTTGAATTTCAATACAATTTTTTGACACGAGTACGTCGGAGTCACAGCAGCAGCAACCAGCACCAGCAGCAGCGGCAGCAGCACCAACAGCTGCGCCGCTGACGTCGACGGCGGCGCCTACAGAGCGACAACTGAAGCAGCAACAAGTGATAGCGCGCTCGTCCGAGCGTCAGTGTAAGCCTGTGTGTGTGCCTCTATGTGTACTTGTGACAGCAGTAAAAAGAAACAATATAAAATTAAAAGAAAAACAACAGCAGCAGCAGCAGCAACACAATGTGTAAGAAGCGCGTATAAAGTAAAGAGCTAGACAACTAACAAATGAACAGCAAGCCGGCCCATTATATCTAAACTTTAAATTTCCCCCATCAATACGACTTGTGAATGCCCTATCTGCACTCCATTCGGCCTAGTCATTGTAGCGTATATTGAAATTTATATGCATCGAATTTCATAAAGCGTTCATTGAACTGATTTTCAGAATCAATTGAGAACTTGTTTTCTACTTCACAAATGTTCCGGTTAACTCGACAAAGCCGCAAGCTTCGTGAAACAATTGAAATGCTCTGTGTTTAAAGAATTTCCACTGATTACAAAGGGTCAGCCTAGAGGAAGTGACAAGAATGCGGGAGACCCGCAGTAGCCGCAGTTGTTTATCAGTGAAGTCACACCAATATCTACGCATTAGCCACGCCTCCACATTCAATTAGGTCAAGAATTATCGGCAGTGTGTTGCTAAATCGAGCTGCGTTTTCTGATAAGATTATATTAATAGCGACAGCGAACACATTCTGATTTGATATTAGAATATTGTCGATTTGATAATTATATACATATACATACATATATTAAAGGCGCGTGTTTTGAGTGGTATACAAAGTTTCGGACAAAGACCCCCAAAAAGACTCGCACACACAGGCACACGCACGTAGACATTCACCCACGGGCATGACATGTAGAAACATTTGTGTGTACTTGGCGACTAGGTCACTTGAAGGTTAACCTTAGCCAAAGCAGCGCACTGGGAAAACCCAACCAGAAGTGCAACAACCGCAGTCAAAGCTTTGGCTAAATTTAGAGACCGTAAAAACCGGCAATTGTTGTTGCATTTTTTACTGGAGAATTTCCGCTGCATTTCAGTGGAAGCTAACTGCATTCAAACAAATGAGCAGTGTGAGAGAGAACAATGAAGAGCGAACAGTAGCTAAGAGCGTTTGAATGTAACTAACGCAACTTACCTTGGCTTCATGTGGAATATCCAACATTTTGTTTCAGTTAATAACAATATTCACACGAATGAGTATCAAATCTAAACGTTCACCTAATTAAAGACTTTTCAAAGAGCGCAAGACAATTATCTACCGCACATCAAATCCACGCAAAGAGTTTGAATAAACTGACAATAAAAACACAACAAGAGCAGCAAGAATGATATACAAGTGTTGCCGCCGTTTGATTCTCTTATTGGAGCATAATTACTAGAGATGAGCCACTCCTAAGTAGTCGTTTCATGGTCACTGTGAGTGTAGACAAATCTTTTGGCAATGTATTATTAAAATTGTAAAATTAATAGAAACAAATTCTTAATTTATTACCATCAAGTTAAAATGCAATGGAAATTCTTATATTTCAAAAATATCTAAATAATTATTTGTATGGCGTGTCAACAGTAGAGTGAGGTTTACAATTAATCACACATTCACCGCCAATAGACACATCCCTATGTAGTCAATCAGCTGATTGTGTGCTAGTGGTGGCATTTTGTTTGATGCAACAGCTGACAAGTAAGTCAGAACAAAACAAAACTGGAGAGAAGCAATGCAAAGTAATTAGTGCAAAAGTATTCAAAGAGAAGCCTTACTAACTTAAGCTCCGCTGCGCACTTTGAGAAAATTTAACAATAAAATGGGTGCGTGCTTTAGCTGCTGCGGTAATAGCGCCGAGGAAACAAACCTAATGCCCTCACCGGTAAGTTATTATTATTGTTGACCAACTAAGCATTAATCTTCTGCCTATCAAGGAGGAGCGTCGCAATCAGCAATTGGAGGCAGCAGAGCGACGACGCCAGGAAAATGAATCTCGTGGAGTTAAGAATCTGGACAAGGTACGTCGCCAGCAGCAACGGGCCTTAGATATGGAGCGCAGAGAAGAAGAGGCCGCGCGCCAGGGTGATAATGGTCCCACTTTACGGGTAAGTTAGTAAAATTAGACTTGGGATTGTATGTATCGAACACTGCATACGATAGCTTATCGAGTTGCATAGATAATGGGGTGTAAATGGATAAGTTGAAACATTTAAATTTTTAATGAAGATTGATTTTTATATCCATTTTTACAGTGGCAAGCAAGTTAAAGTGTGGCTTCAAAGAGATGCAACCGCAGCTGTCTTATTGGATGTTTGGCATCCCCCTGTTGACTGTGTATTAAGGCATTTGTATTCATTTGTTTTCAAATCAGTGTAAATATGTATTTTGTACTTTGTGATTAACTCAATTCGAGCACATCAACCAAATTTTCAACCAAAAATAAAATGATTATAAATCGCACAAATGAACGACCAGTGTTGGACAACACGGCTTAGCGCCGCAACAGCAGCTGTTTTGTTTTGCGTTGCGTCAACTGCGCAGTCGGATTTGTTCTCTTGCACCTGTTGCCAGTTTTTGCTTTGTTTTATTTAATTTAATTAAAATGATGTGGAATATAAACTACATTTTCGTTTTATGCTTGCTGAGTGCCATACAATTCGTTTGCCGTGCTAAGACAATAAAGAAAGCCGGAGCCACTCTCAGGCAGCCCTTCGATGATGACAATTGGCAGGGCGGTTGGTTTCCCCATGCGCCAGGTGAAACGCATAAAGAAAAACTGCAACGTACGCAATCTTGGACAGGCAGCTGGTTTCCCTATGCTTCCGGTGAGCCGCATATCTTGAAAACGGAGCCATCGGCTTTTACTACCGAAAAGCCAACTCCAAAGTTTAAAGACAGCTGGCAGGGTAAATGGTTCCCCCAAGCCCCAGGAGAACCACATATCCTAAAAGCAGAAGTTGAAGAGAAGCAGAATCTCGTTTGCGATGATGGTGTAGTAAGTTGTTGACGGGTTTCCCCATCACTCAGACTACTTATCTATCAAATGTTATCGTTAATTAATCTAGAATAACTTGCATGTCGATTACGACCCGGATGATATACGTCAGAATTATAATTACCTCTGTTTTGCTGCCAATCGAAGCCTCTATAATCCCAACTTGAACACAGAGGCTTTGCTGACGCACCACTTTTTGCCCAGTGCCTTCCTACCGCCCGCCAAGTGCCTGAATGAGTCCATTGGGTACACTCACGAGCCAGCCACATGGTGAGCACTGATCCAAAGATTGACTTTCATGGAATTTAATACCAGATTCTCCTTTACAGCGGTTCTTTTCGTCCACTCCCTGCTGTTTATGGCACCTACAAATATTTGCCACCTCAGCGATATATCCGCAATCTTGCCGAGGGTGCCATTGTCCTGCTTTATCATCCCTGTGCCTTCCAGGGTCAAGTGGCCCAGTTGGAGAACATTGTACGCGGCTGTCTCTATCGGCACCTCGTTACTCCCTCGCAGCTGCTGACACCGGAACGACCATTGGCTCTGCTAGCGTGGAGGCATAGCTTGAGTATGTCCGTGGTGGACAAGGAGCTGGTGGGCCAGTTCATTCGAAAGTATGCCAAGCAAGGACCATTGGCTATTCCAATTATTTCACGCGTTGTGGAAAAGCGCGAAAGCTATAAGGCGGCGTTGCTGACAGAAGCGCGGCTTGTGACTGATCTCGATGATAGTGAAGTGTGTGGATACTTGGAGCAACATATCTAACATTTGTTAACTGTTTAGAACTTTGGAATATATTGTGCAATTAATATTGTTTAATATCTAATGCCCACGCATTATATTCGTTCAAATTGAGTAATCGATGAAAAACATATTGCAGACTGTCGCTTATCGACATGAAGTATCGGAGTAGCGATAGTTTATGTGGTGGTCGGCAGATAATCGAACGGCAATTTGTTTTTTTTCCACTCTGCCATAAATACCTTTTGTTTTGCGGCACTCACGCATTCAGTTCGTTTCTCTTCTACAGCTAAAAGCAACTAATAAACGATACGCGTAGCCCTATCAGTCCGCCGTTTGTATTTCATTGTTTTTTTTATTGCACACCAGCTGGAAGCGCAAAGAAGAAGCACGGCCCAGCCATAAACAGCGGAGAGGTGAAACAAAGGAGACGGCGACGGCGACGGCGCAGCGCACACAAAAACACAATTAATATATTTTTTGTATAAATTGTCGCCGTTGGATGTGCAAAGGGAACGCGAAAGCAACGAAGCTGCCAGTAGTAAAGTGATCGCACATCGTGTGATAATTACCCAGATACGTGATATTCCTGCTCCTGCCAACCAATCAAAAGAAAATCAAGCATCCTGCAACGTGTGCTTTACATAACGAGCGGCAAACAATGAATAATTTAGCGGACACTGTTGTGGTCGATCCGGGCTTTGGTGGCGGCGACAAGCAAGCGCAAGCAGGCTCCACCCAGCCCCAAGATTCCAGCGTCCTGGTGCCTCCGCCGGCCACCAAACAGTCGTCGGCCTTGAAAAAGACCAGCCGGTATCGTAGTCGGTCTTTGAGTGCCTCCTCGACGGATTCCTTTAGTTCGGCCTCCTACACGGGCAGCAGTGAAGATGGCGACGATGTGCCGCCGCGCGAGAAGGTGCAAAAGAACTCCAAGGGCAGCTCCGATTTCTGTGTGCGCAATATTGGAGCTCAACATGCGTTCGGTCGCCGTGAGATCGAGATTGCCGAACAGGAGATGCCGGGCATCATGGCGCTGCGCAAACGCGCCGCTGAGGACAAGCCACTGAAGGATGCCAAAATCGTTGGCTGCACCCACATCAATGCCCAAACAGCGGTGCTCATTGAGACGCTCTCCGAGCTTGGAGCCAGTGTACGCTGGGCAGCGTGCAACATTTACTCCACCCAAGTGAGTAGAGACTGATAAAGAGTATTCTATAATCAGATAATGCTTAAGTACCGCAGATGTTTGCATGGGAATTACATACGAAATCATTTTCAAAGGGAGTGAGAGAGAAAGAAGTCTTGCCTGCTATGTAGAAATGATCTGTAGCTCAGCAATTACGAAGGGATATTGTGCTCAAGTACAGTAGACCTTTGCAAGCTGAGATCTGCTGTTGGGGGATCTTGTGTCAACTGTTTTGTGCTGTCTGCGCCATTTGCTTCACGCAAGTCACTTGAGCCAATTTGTTGTCACGCACACACACATACACACATATATATATATACAGGCAGACAATACAAACAAATCATCAATCAAATGACGCGGGCAAAGTTAAAAAAGAAAAAAAAAAGGGGTCGACGGGCAGCTCAAGTGGCTTGGTTTGGCAATCAAAGAAGCGAAACGTTGATAATTGATATACGAATGTGTTTGTCTGCCTGCGCCCGAAATTGGGGCTTGAGCTGAAGCCCCATACCCTTGCCAGCGGGAAACTGGTTTCTGGCAATCAACTCCGGCTGAATAGCATCTACGACAACGTGCTCCTCTTTCTCAACGTCCCCGGCTGTGACTGTGCCTGTGTGACTCTGCCATGTCGAATGCAATTAGCATTGACGGCTCCCAAAGCTGTTTGCACATATTTTTATGTGCCGTCTAATTAATCTCTATGCCCGCACTAGCACGGATCGGGGCAGCGTGGGCGGCGCCCTTATCGTCGTGCTTGTTGACACACTGTATCACACACACCCACACCAATGTATAAAACACTCTCATATACACACCTGTTAAGCGCTGTAGAGCTGGGAGCTTATCAGCCAAGTGCTGTACTAAGTTGCAGTCACCTGTACTCGCCATCGCTCATTTACCTGTCTAACAATCCTCTCTCCTTTGCCGCTTTTGCAGAATGAAGTGGCCGCCGCTTTGGCGGAATCGGGCATACCGATCTTTGCATGGCGCGGCGAGACCGAGGAGGATTTCTGGTGGTGCATCGATCGTTGTGTGAATGCCGAGAACTGGCAGCCCAACATGATATTGGACGATGGTGGCGATGCCACGCATCTGATGCTGAAGAAGTATCCCACCATGTTCAAGCTGGTCAAGGGCATTGTCGAGGAGAGTGTGACGGGCGTGCACCGCCTCTACCAGCTCTCCAAGGCAGGCAAACTGACCGTGCCAGCGATGAATGTCAACGATTCGGTGACAAAGACCAAATTCGACAATTTGTACAGCTGCAAGGAGTCCATCTTGGACAGCCTGAAGCGATCTACGGACGTGATGTTCGGCGGTAAGCAGGTTGTCGTGTGCGGCTACGGCGATGTGGGCAAGGGCTGTGCCCAGGCGCTCAAGGGGCAGGTAAGTAGGATACCAGTTGCTTAATATATATAACAATCTAAATCTCACATGTGATTCATTTCTTTTAGGGCTGCATTGTGTACATCACTGAGATCGATCCGATTTGTGCGCTGCAAGCGAGCATGGACGGTTTCCGTGTGGTCAAGCTGAACGAGGTGATACGCAATGTGGATATTGTGGTCACGGCGACGGGCAACAAGAATGTGGTGGTGCGCGAGCACATGGATAAGATGAAGAGTGGCTGCATTGTGTGCAATATGGGCCATTCCAATACGGAGATCGATGTGAATGGGCTGCGTACACCGGATCTAACCTGGGAGAAGGTGCGCTCCCAAGTCGATCACATCATTTGGCCAGAGGGCAAGTATATAATACTGCTGGCCGAGGGTCGACTGGTCAATTTGAGCTGCTCGAGCATACCGTCGTTTGCGGTCTCAATTACATCTGCCACGCAGGCGCTGGCGCTGATTGAGCTCTTCAATGCACCGCCCGGTCGCTACAAGTCCGATGTTTATCTGCTGCCCAAGAAGATGGACGAGTATGTGGCCAGTCTGCATCTGCCCACGTTCGATGCTCACTTGACGGAGCTGAGCGATGAGCAGGCCAAGTATATGGGCCTCAATAAGGCCGGTCCTTTCAAGCCCAACTATTATCGCTATTAAGGGACAATAACAACAACAACAACAACAACAATAACAACACAACAACAGTTAGAAAAACAACGCCAACGAAAGTATTTTCTTTGCAAGATTTAAAGCTATTTACGCGAGAATTTCACAATTTATCACAAATTGTTGACAAAAAGGAAGAAAAAACAACAACAAAGTTACTATAAAATTGTATTTGCTTCGTAAGCGAAACACGAGACACCAAAACAAAAAAACACTAAACACACAAAATAACGGACGCTTTTTAGTTGCTAGCATTTACTTAAAAAAAAAAAAAAACTATATAACCATTGTATTGTTTTTTTTTTAGCTGTTACTTAACACACAGCCGCAAAAGTATTTATGATTTTCTCATTTCCCCACCCACACTTATACACGCACACACACGCGACTAACGGTTTCGGTAGCTAACCAAACTCACGCTTTTTTGCTAACACCCTCCTAATCCTTCACGCCCCCTTCGCTCTCTTATCCCCCGTACTTAACTAGTGGCACTTGAATTTATAAGAAACTAAAAACTTTAATGCATAGTATATATTATTATATATTTGAAACGTTTTGTTGCCGTTGCATGGAATTTACTTACACCCCCACAAACATATAAATATATATATTTGTATATATATATGTTGCTATTTGTACTTGTTTTTTATCGTATCTACATTTGCATTTGTTTATACTAATAACTTTGCCTTTTGTTTCTCTATTTGCTGTATTCACCATATTTGAGCGTCGTTAATTGAAATGCAGTGCAAAAAATTCCATTTATTCAATTATTGTGGTGCCTATTGAGGTACACGCCGGAATATATATCAGATAAAGAATTCTATATATGTATATGTATATATATACACAGACACGCATATACATACATATTATTAGAGAACTTTATGTATAAAAACTAAAAACTAAATACTAAAAAACCAAAACAATTAAAAAGTGAAAATTTAAAATGTTTGTAAAAAAAAACAACAACTGAACTCTAAGTAAAAATTGTGAAAAACTTATAAACAATAAAAAAGTTTTATTGAGCAATGCTTAAAAGTTTCAATTATTATTCAATTCATAAATCAGATTTTATTCGATTTTGTTTTTTACCATCATTTGTAAATAACAAATAAAAATTGATTGGAAAGTTTATAAAATTGTTTTCATTTTTCGGTTTATTGGGAATTAATATACAAAATTTAAAAATGTAATTTTGTCATCCGTTTAATTAATTTTTGTTGGCCATAAATTCAATTGGAGAAATTTTAGGTAATCGAAAAAATAAATTTAAATGCTTAAAAAGTATAAAACTCCTACCCCTCCCGCTCTATTATTTATTAAAACAAATAAATGCAATTGGTTGTTGTTTTTGTTATTTTATCAGATGCATCACTCGTCTATTTTATTTGATATTATGCCTTAAAAATTTGTATGTTTCTTTAATATTTTCGTTTTTGTTTACCATAATTTGTAAATTACATTACAAAAAATTATATAATCTTTATGAATTTTTTTTTTTGTTTTCGTTTTTTCTTTTTATAAGTTTTTTTTTCTTTTTTTCAATATTTTTATGTACGTTTACTTAAAATGCCGTAGACTACAAGAAAGTATTTGTAGATTCGTCTTAATTAGGTTTTTAATCCTAACACATTGGTGGGGGTGGGGGAGCCCCAGAAATAAGTCATCGACGACGTCGTCTACACCGCGTGCAAATAATTCTTAATAAACACAAGGGGGAGCAGGGGGAAGGTGATCGAAGGGAATCGAAACGAATGTCGCAGAGCCGAAATTTGCAGTCAAAAAGGAATCAAAAACGACTAAACTAAATGATGTCTATGTGTGTGCTTGCA